TGGGTGTTTAGTAAAGAGAGAGAGAGAGAGAGCTGTAGCTAAATTTTGTATGAGTAACATTTTCAGGTGTGTTATTTCATTTACTGACGTCAAGACAACTAGGAAGTTTGATAGGTTCGCATGAAATAGGTATAATTTGTTGCCTTCTGTATGAATATCTCTATTCAGATCGATAACTGCTGAGTTATATATTTCATTTCTGCTTATTGATGCCTTTCCACATGGATAGATGCTTATTCCAATGTTGTAGTCAGTGGAGTTCCTTGATATAAGTATAAAACTTGGGCACTGCGGTAGTGCATAACTCCATTATGGATAAGATTTTACTTTGAAAAATCACACAGCGTTGCACAGTAATATTAACTGATGACTACGTTTCGAGCACAAACTATTGCCACTCATAATCCTATCAAGGTACTCACACAACTGTTTTTCTTCATTTGCATGTGTGGAATCAGTTAGATATTTGAATAAAAGTCAATCTAGGATAATACACATTCATAAATAATAATATGAGTGTTATTGATCAATTACAATCAGATGGGAAATAAGACGAGTGTTTTTATAGTCATAATAAGTAACTTGTTAGAATGTTATTGTGTGTGTTTGAATTGAAATAGAATAAATAAGACAGAATATAAGGCATCTACAGTTTTATCATTTAAGGAGGGGACATTTGAGACCCTCCCTACGTAGGATTCTCAATAAAGCGGGAACTAGGGTGGCATTCAAACCTACAAACTCACTCAGAGAAAGCTCTGTGCGCTAAAGGACTCTGTAGGTTGACCCAATTGAACAGAATAATGTAGTTTACAAATTACCTTACAATGGCTGTGAGTTAAGTCAAGTACAAAGATCCGACGAGTAGGTGGGGGGGGGTTACTCAGATTCTCGAAACATAAGAATTCAGCTAAGGTAAGAATGGTTAACCCCGAGAAGATAAGTAATTTAGAAAACAGCTCAGCTATAGCACTGCATGCATTAACACACAACCACACAATAGGGGGGGGGGTTGGCAGGGACAGAGTCAAAATCCGAAAGAGTATTATGGGTAGGTGGAGAAAGAGAGATTGATTATAAATCCTGTTTGGTTCATCAAGTCTACACCCAACACAACACATGCAATAGAAGTGACTCAACTCAAATACCTGGGATGTGAGAGATATTATTACCAGTTAAATTGGAAAAAATTAAATAACGTTAAAATGCATTCAATTCACATACACATTCTAGCAAGTTACTTATTTAGACTATAAAACCATCTTATTTCTCAGGTGATTATATTTGATTGATAACACTCGTATTATTATTTCTGAATATACATTACCCCATACTAATTTTTATTCAAATATCTACTAGTCAATTCCAGACATGCATATAAATGAAGAGAAAAGTTGTGTGAGTACCTTGATATGATTATGAGTGGCAATAGTTTGTGCTCGAAACGTGGTCATCAGTTAATATTCCTGTATAACACTGGGATTTTTCAAAGTAAAATCTTATCCATAATGGAGTGGACTTCCTTCTCTATTGGATCTTGATTAATTCGACTAAATTGTGTGATAATTGCAGATTTCATAGCATATCAACTGGTTTCAAGTTCGGCCATGGATTAATATCAGTTAGAGAACCATTAAAAACCAGTAGGAGGAGTACTGCATAGCCAACTGTTTCTTCTTCGTAGTTCTTTGGGACTCTCCAGTAGTAATCAGCCACCTCCGGGGTCCGAACACAAAACCGTCTAGTTCACAAGTCAACCCTGTAGACCATTCAGCTACTGGGAACCTGACCTTATGGCCAGTCCATAAATTCTAACTCCTACCAATTCGTGATTCTATGGCGACCACCAGTTAATGCCATCGGTGGGTATTTGTTCTCACTGCCGACGAGATTGACCCCACTGGTCACGACTTCTCACTAGAACACCAGACAAGGTCGTCCTGTAGAACTAGTCACTAGCTAGTAGATGGGTCTCTAGCTAATATGGATTCCTTGGTCAAACTTGAAACAAATCGAATCTCTACAAACTATTGAAAATCTCAGGTTATGCATATGTAAATATTCAAGGCGTTTCGTTTTATCCGTGTCATATTTGAATCACATCAGTTTGTTAGTGTAATTCGTGTGAAAAAGGAATACAGTGTCGTTCAGTTGTGAATTTTATTGGTATGCTACTATTCTTTCAATATTTCACATTTTCGTTTCATTTTATCGTAAAAAAAGTTGAGATTTATAAATGATAAGAGAATTGGAGCTATGGATATGTCTCAAGTTGGATTGATTGGACCAAAATGTTTCGGCTTCCATTGACTTGTCACCGCTGATGTCTAACGTGTAATACGAAATAATTTGGTGGATAAAGGTGACAAGCAGTGGGATTCAGGATGTGCACTTCGTCCTGCTTGGCCGCGTTAGATGCTTGCACCTACGGGTCCCAGCAAGTGATGGCATTCCAACTAAGACTCGAAGCTTATATCCATCGTTTCAAATGTCTACGAAAACAACCTCGTGTTCAACGAGGGTCATTTTATATTTTGTCAACATGGCAAATGCAAATCGATTGAAAGCAGATAGTAACTTTTGATAGCCGGTTGCATAAGGGGTAACTCTCGTGGCCCAAATGGTCTGTTGGATGATAGCACTTTGGTGTTTAGAGCGAAATGAACTAAGTGTGAATCTCTGTGGGAACACTACCGCTCACTGGGAAACACGTGCATCCAGTTGACTAGTCCCGAAATACACATTCTGGATTCCACTACTAGTCACCATCCAGCAAATCACTTCTTGAAGTTTATGGCGTTTTTGAATTGCAGATGATTCTGGATCCTTCGAGTCTTCATGTTTTTCTCCTTTTCATTAATTGTTCTTTTGAATCCCTCTTTTTTCTTCTTTTCTTTCACTTCAACCATGAAAATCTATATTCTAAGTGATTTACTTATTTGAAGTTATGATATGAATACTGAGGATTTTTCACTTTAAAAAACCCTATTTATCATTCTCAGTATTTGTATTACTTAATAAGTTCGTTCTCATTCTTACCGGATGTTCCTTATATAATATGTGTATCGACAGAAGACAAGGTCTAGGCAACAGATCGTTTATTGAGGAAATCAACAGTTATATATATTTTATTTACGTTATTATTCGTTATTATTAACAGAGAAACTGCGTCCTCTGATTGGTTGTTTTCCTATCATCTATTTGTGGCCATTTATGTGAAGGTCATACCACAAATATGCGAATCGTATCCGCCCACGCAAAGTCTTTGTTCTTGTCCTGCTCTCACGACCAAGATTTGGGACGTAAATTGCTGTCTATCAATTTTACATAGTAGACAGCTCTCACCTCACATGTACTGTATTCATCCAATTAAGAAATTCTGTTGCATCTCGTGATTTGCCAATTAATTTCTCATTTGGGTTGTCAGTAACGCCATCGATCTGGCTCAACCCTTGAATGTAAACCTAGCTCTTTCAAATAAGGTAATGGAAGAAACATGCTACAAGAAATTGTTGTTTGAAATGTAGTCATCACATAAAATTTCAGTTATCTGTAACGCTGCTAGATTACATTTGTCAAATAAGTTATCAACATCAAGGGGGGAAACACGGTTTGCCGATAACACACAAATCTAACATCCTTCTGTGCTCCATCACGTCAATGCGAAAATCTCTAACTCAAAGGCTAGTAAAGTGGTTAGTGGAAACATTAGTGCCTATTAGGGTAAAGTTAAACTTTAAGCAGCACTAACTGTCAACCAGCTAATGACCTTGAACGCACCAATCATGTTAGGGAGGCATTTTCGTGTATGGAATACATATGTTTACGAAAAAAAATGCATAAAAACTATAAAAATGTGTTACACAGGATACCCTTCTCTCAAATACGATAGAAACATCACCCAGTTTAGCACAAGAGCATCAATTGAAAAGCTACACCACATATATGTGGCACTTTGTTTCGTATCAAACGAAGTTACCCTTGCAGGTAGATGAGGATAAGGTTTTGCTGTATTGCCTGGATTTGGGGTTGCTTAGGAAGGAGAGATATCGTTTCATGGAAAATGGAGACAATATTACTTCGTTGTTAGGCGGAGAAAGTATCGTTGTACACGTGGACGAAACTGTGTTATTAGAGAAAAAATACAACCGTGGTCGTGAGCGAGCCAACAATGTTTGGGTGATCGGTTTATATGACACCTTCCTGTGGAAAGGATTCATGGAGAGAATACCAGACAGAAAGTCTACTACCTTAGTACCTATTGTCACTCGCTTGTGAAACAGGGATCCATTGTACATACTGATGAATGGAAAGGTTATAACTCGCTGTCATCTCTTGGGTATGTTCATCACAGAGTGAACCATTCTAGGAATTTTGTGGATCCAATTACAGAGACATACACGAATTCTATAGAAGGATTTTTCGAAAGATTAAAAAATAGGATAAGGGCTATAAATGGATCTCATTTATAGTCATTTGGATGAATATATATATATATATGTAAAGAATATGGTGTAGCTTTTCTATTGGCTCTCCTATGCTAAACTGGGAGATGTTTCTGTCACATGTTAGAGAAAAATACCCTATGTAACAGTTTTATGCAGTATTTATGCTTTTTTTTCCTAAGTATACGTTCTCCTTAATCAAAGTCCCTCTTTCTTGTGATTGGTCCGTTGAAGGTCGTTCGCTGATTGGTAGTTACTGGTGCTTAAAGTTTAACTTTGCCTATTCTTGGTATCTGGGACCTGTAGTGTATATGTAATACAGTTTCACAAATGAGTATATACAGTGTTTTCTGTTTATATTTTCTTTTGTTGTTATCTCTAGTTGGAATTCCTTGTTTTAAATGGTCTGGAACAGAAGGCGATTACAATGTACTCGTATTACAGTTACTTGGGCCGAGTTTAGAAGACCTGTTTAATTTTTGTGGCCGTCGATTTAAATTAAAAACAGTCCTCTTATTAGCTGATCAGATAATTACACGTGTAGAATATATACAGAATAAAAATTTTATTCATCGGTAAGTTTTTGGTGTCATTTCAAAAAAATGTGTTTTTGTCAACCGCATTGTGACGATGTTCTTTTTCTTCCCCTACATTTTATACTCATTATTAGTTCTTTTGTTTGTTTGCCCATATTTGCGGGTGGGTGGCAATTTGAATTGTGCTACACTACTTCTGTGCTAAATCCACGTCAGTCAATATTTTCGATGTCCATCCTTTCTGTGTGTGTGAGAGAGAGAGAGAGAGTGACGCTTAGTCAATATGAAATGGAATCCAAGTGATGATGTGAACTTAAAAATTCCGTGCACTATCGATCAATGGTACACTTGGAGAGTGCCTATTGCTGGGAGCAAAAAGAAAGTAAAATTACACAGGTCTACAACTGTATGAATAAGATTCATCATCATCGGAGAGAAGAAAAGCTGTTATTTGCAGAATAATGTGTGTGTGTGTGTGTGTAGATACCGATTGTGTTTAAATTAAAAAATACTGTCTAGTTCATAAGCAAAAGCAAAGTGAATTCTGTCAATCAAGGTTTCTAATGTGATCAGCATTGTGCAACCTATCTTGCCATCCCAGTTGACATGTGTTTAGGTATAGGTTTCATGTTCATTCATGCTTTTCAGAGAAGTGTATATTGTATATTGATATCCCTTCAGGGATTCGAGACTATGTCACGTCCTTGTGGTGTAAAGGTAAGTGGTCAACAGGCTATTTATGCATGCTATTGTTTTCTTAATATGATTGAATTAGATACATTATTTATATAAGTATGAAACTTGGACACTGTAGTAGAGAGTATAACTTCATTATAGATAAGATTTTATTTTGATGTGACCACGTGTCGACCACAATTCATTACCACTCATAATCATATCAAGGTACTCACTCACACAACTTTCTTACTTCATTTATATACATGAGTGAAATTGATGATTAGACATTTGAGTTAACATCAATATAAGATAATGTACACTCAGAAATAATAATAATATGAGTATTATCAATAAAATACAATCAGATGGGAAATAAGACGTGTTTTTATAGTCAAAATAAGTAACTTGTTAGAATGTTATAATGTAGGTGAGTTGAGATAGATTTTTAAGATTATTTATTATCCTCCTCTGATTTGACTGACTGACTGGTGGTAATAATATCTTCCATATTTCTGGTATTCTCAATGAGTCATTTCTGTTGCATGTGTTGTGTTGGGTGTCGACTCAAATGAACCAGGATTCAGTAATCAATCTCTCTCTCCACCTACCTATATTACTTTCTAGAATTTTGACTCTGTGTGGTTGTGTGTTAATGCATGCAGTGCGACTACTGCTGAGTTCTTTTCTAAATTACGTATTTTAATAGGATAAGTCATTCTAATCTTGGCTAAATTCTTTTGTTCTGATAATCTCACTACTCCGTAGAATTCTCCAGATGTTTGCAACAGGTGTTGAATCATCCCTGTTACACGTATTCCCTGTCAGTTGATTCGATAAATAGAGTTTCCGTTATCAACCTTTTCCTCCACCCTGTTATATTAGGTTTTACAACTGCCATCTTATCCGATTCTGTTGTATGGTTGTGTGTAATTGCATGTAGTGAGGTGTATAGCTGAACTAATACTCTAGATTTCTTATCTTAATCTGGTTAGCTAATCTTGATTTGTCTAGGTTTTTGTGTTCCACTAGTTTGACCGACTTCTCTCTACTACTCTGTCTTATATATTCGATCTAACAATCATTCCAACAGGGTATTAGATATACTGAATTGTTTTGTTCAATTGGCTCCACAGGATCCTTTAAACGACAAAGTTTATTTTCAAATGAGTTATTTTCTCTCTCTCTTTCTCTTTGTGTGTGTAGTGTAATCCTATGAACTTTGGTGTTTAGTTTTTTTTTGGTATATACTGTAATACACAGATGTAATTGCTCTTTTTAGTCTTAGAGGTTATAGTGGGTTTCTTTCAAGGTTGTCTTCATTCCAAAGTGCATCACAGTGGTGACAAAACTGTAAACTTCTCTGGCAGAATTCAGTCAGTATCACTAATTACCAAGAATGTGACTCAACAATCTTGTAATATTTCCTTACAGAAATGTGGCAATGAGCCACACTTTCTATGGTGTTAAATGTGAGAGATAATCATACTATCTGGCTTTCCCCAAACTACTGTAGGTGAGGCAGGCGTCGATTTTCGATCCCTCAACTCAGTGTTAGTTAAAAGTTAGGACATTTAGGATCAACGCACCACATTTTCAATATCACTAGCCAATCATCAGTCAACTTTTGTCATTCTTCGTATCTTCAGTTCTTTTTTTTAATAGTTCACAATTTAGTTTCCCCGTCTCATCAACATTAAAGACATAAATTATTAATTCGAGAAAAAGTGATTAGTTAATATAAAGAAATAAGCAGTAATAATTCTTGTATCCATTCAATTCAACCACTCTCCTGTAGAGCCAGTCACAGCTACCGTAGTTCTAAAAACTTGAACTAATGTTTTCGAGTCTCGCGCGTAACTAGTTAGTAGTAAGCCAGAAGAATCAAATTATGAAATCAAACGAATCAGGAAAATATTACTGGTGAATAAATAACTGACCCCACCCCACCTCACCTCACCCTGAGAATTTATTCAGCAATGATGTATGTGTGAAGACCATTTCACTGTGTTGAAGTGTAACGCAACAGAAGACAAGACACGGAAGCCAAGGTCTATTTTTCATTGATCACACCACTGTGTCTATATCTATACACAGTTTATATTGTTTAACCAATCACTGAGCGTGTGATTTCGACTTAAATCAATCAAACGACAAAAGCAGAATGTTGAAATATATACATAGTATTCTGTTGTTAATGCAGTATAATATAACCTTGGGAAAAGTATTCTGTCTCTAACACAAAATAGAGTGTTCAAATAGATATTTGGCATTCTTTTGTTAATGCCGAATTGAACTGTGGGAATATGTGACAATAATATTCCGTTGGCACATACATTGTCTGTTCTGTATCACACCACCACAGAAGTCTGAGGATATTCCTCATTTTTTTCTTCACATATATAAACTCACCCAACAGTAGTAGACGGAATCCAATCCACTTATGAGTTGGAAAACGAACTCGATGAGTTGGTCATGTTAGCCCAAAAAAAACAGATCGAAAAGAAGATGGTGGTGTTTAGATAGTAGACACACTGACTGGTTCCAATTCAGAACTAATTTGTACAGATGTGCAGCAGTTCATCTTGCCACACCCACATATAAAGCAAGAGAAGAGAGTTTCAAAGAGAGATAATAAACAGAAGTGTGAGTGAGGGAAAAAGAATAGTATTATGGAAGAGCAATAGAATTTTATTGGATATTATAAATCACAAAGAGTGAATGCATCTGCGCCAGCTATTGAGAACGAGGATTTTGAGCTAAGTCAGTAATTGTTTCCAGCAGCCATTGGTTTGCTTCCAGCATCTCGATGATCCCAACCAACCAGGAAGCCAGTCTATACCTACCTACTAGGTTGGCTGGCTAGCTGGCTTAAACTAACTGTTATTTATTTCACTGACTGATGAAGTCATATTTTGGTTTGACCACCACTAGCTAACTCATTTCCAACCTGATCCATCCTTCGTCAATCAGCAGCTGACATTGACCATCAAGGAAGGTAATCGATGTATGTCTAGGCATGCGTAACACACGTCCTAACCACCCCAATCGGTGTAACTTCACAATCTCGTCGATTGATTTTCCATTGTTACCTATCACTCGACGCCTAATCTGTTTACTGCTCAGTTTATTGTCCCACTTAACACAGGAGATATAACGCAGATACCTGTGATCAATTTAGATTTATTTAGCATTTAATAGGAAACCGACACACACTCTAATAAATACTTAGACTTTGATTTATCTCATCCAGGATCGATAAATATAGGCTTAGTTAAATGTCTGTATAATCGGGTTGACGGTCTAGCTGTAGTAAATCAGAACATTTAAATAATGAAACCAAACAAATACGGAAAAGATTAGTGGTGAATAACTACCCACCAGAATTTATTCCAAAAGGATATGAAGACCCATAGGAAGGAAAAATAAGAGAGTAGCAATGAAAATGACGAAAATAATCTAAATAGTATGGAATTCAAAGCCGCTGTAGTATACTGTCTTATGAAAAAGAAACAGCTTAGGCCTTACGTAAAATTCCTAATAATGTAAAGTGTCATTTGTACCAATCAATTCTCGTAGAGGTAAACTTTGTCGACCTAAGCGCATGATAGATCTAATTAAGAAAAATGATATAACTAATTTACCAAATATCATGTAGTGATTGTATGATCGATTACACATAGGTCGAACTATTAGATCAAGGTCAATCAGATTATCGGAACATCGGAAATTTGGCTAGACGTTATAATGAACAACTTTGCTTAATTAAATAATTTAGCAAAAACTCAGCCAATGCAATGCACTCACTCGTATGTAAATCATACGACAGAATGGAACAGGTCAGGGATATTAAAAGGTAATGTAGTTAGATTGAGAAAGAAAGAGAGAGAGGTTAGTCGCTGAATCTTTTGCTTATCGATTCAACACTCTTTTGTATTCCTTTACGTTCGAAGTGGAACATAGTTCAGGGCTTTGAAGTTTCGGTAGCATTGGTGCTTATTTTCACAGGGTATGGTTGTTAGCTTCACCACAGACCAACCTTTCCCTCTTTCCTGGCTTAGCGTGGTTTAGAAGTGCGTGCGTCTGTGGCCGGAGATCGAACCCTGAGCCACATACATGGTTGGCGAGCGTTTTACTACAGAGCCACCGACGAGGATATGATCGAATCAACAACAAACACGTCCAATCGAAGCGATGCAACGCCCATATTGAATATGCGGTAAATTGCAATAATTGACGAGAGTGGGGGGTCGGGTGGAGAGAAAAATATGCATAAAAAGCAGCAAATTATGAAGCCTTGCGATGTAATTATGGGCAATGAAAATTGTTATGGAAACGTCATCCACTTAGTTATATTCTTACACTGTATCTCTGTGTGTTTTGTGTCATTAAATAAATTTATCTAATGGAAAGAATCCTTATCTCTATTGTCCACCTCTTTCTGTCTCTCTGTCCGTCGTACAAAGTAAACTGCTAAAAGCCACCAGAGTATTGAATACTTAAAATAAAAAGCATCAATTCACCGTGGCGACCACCGCCTAAACTTTGGTGTACCTAAGTAAAAAAAAGGCTAGGGTGGCATACACCAACTTGAGCCACCTCTGGCGCCGTCGCGATGTTAGCCTGGCTGTCAAAGGTCGGGTATACAATGCTTCAGTGCGGGCTGCGCTGCTCTACGCCTGTGAAACCTGGCCTCTTCGAGTACGCTGAGGATGTTTGGCGACTCTGCGTGTTCGATCATCACTGTCTCCGCAGGATTGCTTGCGTTCGATGGATGGCATCATCGCGTGAGTAATTCTGAGGTTTGGGGGCGTGTATTTGAACTCAGTGGCGATCACCATTCATTGAATGTCGTCATCTGGAAACACCGGCTCCAGTGGTTGCTTGGGCATGTGCTGCGAATGTTATCCCGCAGGAGGCTTCCGTAACAGGTCTCTGTTCGCTAGCCAGTCCTAGGACGGGATGGAAAAGGTGGAGGGGTGGTTAGTGCATGACGTGGCGTCGTGGGATGAAGGATGTTTGTGCTAAGCTGGCATCGGTTG